AATAAATGCTCGTTTGCAATTAAGTGTTTTGAATGTTTTTTTATTAAAAATTCAATAAATTTGTTTTTTCAAATAAATGTTTGTTTGAGGATGTATGTAAAGTTTGTTACATACATCCTCAATTCTATTGAGTGATTATCCTTTAAATTATAAGAAATGATTATTTACTTTTTATTTGTTTTAAAAGTTAATATAAATAACTTTAATTCAGACCTGTTTTTTTTTACCAACATAATTGACACTTTAGAATGTTTTATTCGAATAATTTATGCAATAATAGAATTATAATATAATTCTAGAAGGAGCCCCTGAGTTTGTATACCCCTGTATACTGACAGCACTCAGTTAATAGTTCAAGCAGCGTTTCTAAAAAATGGTATCTTGCTACAAAAAATAGAGAATATAAAATTTTAGGTAGAGATGATTGCTGCTTACCATGCTGTTATGTTATTAACCTTCTAACACACAGGATTGGGTAGCTAAGAGCTGAAAGGTACATAAATTATGCACAAAACTTAACTATAATTGTAAACCCCCATTTAATAATAAATTGAATTATTCAAAAAATGATTACTTTTTTTTCTCTAATATTTATAAAATTCATTTGTTTTCTTTTATTTTTAACAAATTTATTAGCCTTATTTAATTATTTTTTATCGTGGTTTGATAAAGCCATGTAAATCTATCTTGGTTTCACCAGCTAGGAACTTAAATCGCCGCCATCTTGGGAGGTCAATTTTGGCTTCAACTTTTTTCGGAAAAAACAATAGAATTCACTATCTAGTTATATTTTGAGATCAGTGATATATATATATATATATATATATATATATATATATATATATATATATATATATATATATATATATATATATATATATATATATATATATATATATATATGTATATGTATGTATGTATTAAAACTAGCAAGGATTCATTAAATGTACAAAAATAAACTATTGGCTGTGATATTAAAATATATTTGGGCATCATTATTGTGTTCCATAAATAATACACCTGTATAAAATATAACAAGTCATTATTTAAATAGGCAAGGGTTGCATAGTTAGGTGTCTTCCAAATAGAATAACAACTTTGTAAAAGTAAACAACTGCAATAACATTAATACCATGATTATAAAAAAATTATAATGTAATTTATTAGTATGACTATCATACTATAAGAAATGCAATAACACAATAGCAATAATATGATAACTTACCATTAAAAACCCATTTTGTTAATTTATTCCATTGATAGATATGTTATATAATGTTCAACAATTGTAATATTAATGTTCGTAAACAAAGTTATGCGTACAGTTAATGTATTACATGTGTTTATTTTCTCTAAACTGTTGACTAATGATCAATAAAGTAAATTTCAAATAATGAAAGCTGACTAAATTAAAACCATATTTCAACTCAAATAACCACACAAAGTAGACTCTCAAGGTAGAGATAAAAAAAAGGAGAAAAAGTATATAATAGATAATGTATATAATGCTCCTTATTAAAATATCAAAGATACAGTACATAACTGTACCAGTTTCGATTAACAATTGACTGGTAAAACTAAAGATAAATAGAGAAAAAAATACAATAAAAATTAGACATTTTTAAATTTATAAAGATAATAAAACTTCAAGAAAAAAATAAAATAGCAACTAAAATAAAATAAATAATCCTTTTAAATAAATAAAACTATAAAAAATAAAATTATTATATTTTTCAATTTAAAAATTGTTAAATTATACAAACTTTCTATTTAATAGATTATCTTAAAGATACTGAATAAAGGTTTGTATACACAGTGTAAATACAAACCTTTATTCAGTATCTAATTCACAATGTAAAAAACACATAAATTATTCCCTAACATAATAGGAGTTGTCTATAAATCTAATTACTAAAGACAATTGTTCCTGATTGGAGCAGTCAGATGCTTCATCAGCAATAGCTGAAAAAAATGATTTTCTTTTATTTCAGAAACCAAAATATTCTGGATGTACTTTCCGCAACAACTCATTAATTCATTCTGTGACGAATTAGAAATAAAAGATGCATTCTTTGCACCGATGTTAAGTACTCTCGGTGCTTTTTGATATTTAATTATGTAAATATGTTTGGATTTTTGATCACAATCAGTAAAGTAGAATAGTTTTTGATCAGATGCAACAATTTTTTTTCCAGTTAATTTTAATAAATCCACAAATTTTTTCTGGTTTTGTAAACCTTTTCTTAATTGCTTAAGGTGATAATGCACGTAAACATCCTTTTAAAATTTTTTTTAAATTGAATATTTTATCAATGTAACATTTAGTTGACTTTCTCAATATCTTAAACTTTTCTAGATAACTCAGAAATAATTAGTGGTTTGTCTTTTTATTATTAAGTTTTTCATCTGAAAAAGTTAACATAAATTTAGCTTTAATGGTCAATGCCAATGTTCAACTTTTTTGCCATTTAAATCATCTTTTCTTTTAATTCTCACCACGTTATTTTTAATTCTACTAATGGTGGTTATTAAAACATTGATTGATTCCTTTTCTAAAAATTTCCTCATCATTCTATACAAATATCCAAATTGTACCAACATTAATACATTTTTAATTTTTTTTTTTGCTTTTTTTTTGTCAAAATGCTTTATTTACATAAATCTTTTATTTTTTGCTAACTACTTTAAATATGTGATTAAATTATAAATAATATTGTTAAATATTGTTTAAACAAAAAGTAATCAAGTTTCAAAAGTGTTTCCATTTCAATGCCACAAGACTGTATATGAATTAATTAATAAAATGTCTATTATAAAATGTTTATATCATTTTTGTGTTCATATTTGTTTATACTTAGATAAAAAAGCACTCAAAGGTGTAAGAGTTAAAAAGTTAAGAGTATGATAGTTAATCATTAAGTTCATTATTTATATTTAGAATAGAAAGAAAATTAAAATATGTTTTTCAAAATTATAAGACTTATCAAGGCAGATATTCTGCACACACAAAAAAAAAAAAAAGGATTTAAGATAGGTATTGTACTTTGGTTTTTAACAATTTTTAACTTAAGCATAAACAAAAAAAAATATCTTTTTATAAAAATGATATTTCATTGATAATATATTTATTTTATTAGTGATGACAATGGATCAGATAAGTAAAAATTATTTCATTTATAAATTTTTAATTTTCTGTTATGTTATAGTTATGTTTTATAATTTTTTTTAGCTTGCTAAAGGTTAGTCCTAAGTAAGTATTTATTTTTATTATCAAATTTTAAATTTGATTTTTGAAATGGTTTTATATTAAATAAAAATAATAATTTGATAAGTTTTCATTATAGAAAAGAAAATTTAGGTTTTATTATTAAATTGTTGATTTATTTTGTTAGTAAATTTAGTAATTAATTATTGGAATTTGATTTTAAAGAAGTTGTAAAGATTTTTATTTATTTAACAAAAATGGCGCCAACATTGGCATTAACAGATCATTTGGTTATCATCATTACAAGGAAAAACAAACTGAGATTGGTTATATTCCACTTCAAAACCTCTATTTGTATCATACTTCAATTTAATTTTTTATCTCTTGTAGTTATTTATTTATTGCTCAAAAGAGTTTTTAACTTTATCCAAAGTTGTTTGTTGCTTGATCTTCGTTAAAGCACTCATATTGAGTAACAACTTTAAGGTAACTATTGCATATAATGAGTATTTTTTATAATTTATTACTTTGTTAAATACTAAAGTCTTTCCTTACTCAAAAACTTTATGTTTTTTTGTTTTTTTTTAGATTCAGAGTTGACTCGAAATGAAAAAGAAAGGAAAGACTGTATTTTTGTGTATTTGGATTTATATTTATTATTTAACAAATATATATTACTTAAAGATAAGTATTTAAGTATATCTATAATGTAACTGTATATAGAAATATGTAATATAATTATATTATTATTTACTTGTATATACTTTATCAAAATTGTTAATAATCTTTTAGAAAGTGTTTATTACTTTACTAATATTTTATTTGTTTGTGTATTTGCTGTTGAAGTGAAATATAAATCACGGAAATTTTAATATATTTATGTAAATCAAAGAAAATTTGTTTTCAAAAAATATTTTCAAAAACATGCCATTGCTTTTATATATATAAGATTTACGGAATATTTTTTATATATATTTTATTTACGGAAACTATCCGGCAGCTGAGTTGCCTTTCCGTTGTTTAACGCTAAAAACTTGTTTAATTTAAACGGAAGTATCCGTTTATTTATAGAAAAGTTCCGGCAGCTGCCAATGACCAAACTACCCGATGTTTAACGAAAAAAACCGGGTAGTTTGGTCATCGGCAGCTGCCGGAACTTTTCCGTAAAAAACGCGCTATTTTTTGATCAGTGTATATATATATATATATATATATATATATATACATATATATATATATATATATATATATATATATATATATATATATATATATATATATATATATATATATATATATACATATATATATATATATATATATATATATATATATATATATATATATATATATATATATATATATATATATATATATATATATATATATATATATATATATATATATATATATATATATATATATATATCTTTTTAGGCAGCGTGGGGTAGACGTAGTTTTGTGGAGTTTCTTTTTAGAAACATATATACACATACTTTTTTGAAAGAAGAGAAGCTAATCTTCATTTTTTTAAAACTTTTATATGTGGTTACTAAACTTTTTAACGAATCATTTCGCTCCTGAATATTTGGTTGATGATTTCACATGAATTTGTAGTCGAAGGCATGTCGTGTCCGCTTTTTTTGTTATTCAGGCAATTTTTTACATGCATTTTCTTTGCACATGCCACATTACAGCAAAAAAAATTTGGGAGCAGATAGTTTAAGAAGTGTAGGACTTTTGGTACCTAAATTCGTTTATTTTTTGTTTTCGTTTTATCGGTAAGAGAAATATGGGGCAGGATAGGGAAGACGGATTGTAAACAAAAAAATTATTACTACATTGTATTGTTTTAATTTTTAATATTAGATTGAAATTCAAATAAAAATGGTAAAAGTTATGGAAAAGAAGACTTCAAGAAGTAAGTTAATATGCTTTTCATGATAATAATAACTTTTTTAAAAAACAAAACAATAATGATAAGTTTAAAAACCTTAATCTTTACATACATGGCATGCAAACAAAGATTAAGGTTTTTAAAACTTAAACCAATAATGGTGTATATTAAAAAAGATTAGGATTTAAGATTAAACCGTTACTTTAGAATATTTTATTAATTAATAGTATCAGATACCAATGTTGTTAATACACCATATATATATAAATATACAAACGACATTATTATACTTTAAAGTAAAACTTTATTGGCTTAAGCCAATAAAGTTTTCGACAAAATTATTTTATAATAATAAGCTTATTTTTGTAAAAATATCAAGATACTTTTACAATGATAAGTTTATTCTTATAAAAATATCTTGTTAGTGTTTTTCTAATATAAAGTAATATAATTTTAAAATACAGTAATATAGTTTCTGTTTTTTATTATTTGTATACCCTTTTTTTGTTAGTCAAGTTGTTGTACGTAAAGCAGAACTGTTTTAATAACTGTTACTTTTATTGACTGTTGACAATATCAAGATGTTTTTTTTTTGATTATACAACTTTTTTGTTATCTTTAGTCCAATCTGCACAGACTACAACTGGTAAGTTGTTATAGCATAACTTTTATTAACCATTAAAGAAATATAAATAGATAAATGTGTTTTTTACTTATTTAATTATTATTTGTCGTGTATGGGTTTCCCATTTGCTGCAATATTAATTTTTAAATTTTAGTATCTACCTCATGTGCTACACCTGGTAAGTTAAACAACTCTTACTTTTTAATGTGCAAACTTTACAACATCTTTAACTTTAGTTCCTTAGTCATGTGTTGCAACTAGTAATTAAAAAAAACTATTACATTTAATGTGTATACATTACTTGTTATTTGCAATAAAGATTTTTTGTTACAATTTTGTAATTTTAGTATCTACCTCTTGTGCTACACCTGGTAAGTTAAACAACTCTTTTTAATGCGCACAAATTTCTCATTGATTGCAATGTTGATTTTTATAATGTATTTTTTACCTTTAATTCTTTCTGCGTGTGCTACGCCTGGTAAGTTGTAAAACCTATTTTCTTTTAACATGTGTATGCATTTCTTATCAATTGCATATTCTTTTTTTGCAATTGCATTTCTTATCAAATGGTTTTTGATTAAAACCTTTTTTATATAGTTACATCTTCAGCTGTCACGTCAAGTAAGTTTAAAAATTATTACTTTTCAGACTATAAATGCATTTATTACCAGTTGCTATTTGTATTTTTTATTAAAACAAACTTTACTTTTAGTTCCATCTGCACCACCTTCAAACAGTAAATTTATGAATCTGGAATGTCTCTGATTGATCGAGTTCATCTTATTCATATTTATATAATCTATTTAATACTTTTGTGTTTTGTTATCTCTTGAAGTGCTATAAAAAAAGAATCAGAAGCTTATACATGTTTAAATTTTTATCCTGATTAACTTTTATTAAAAATTTCATTGATTCATTAATCATTTATTATATTTATTCAGACAAACTGTTTTAGTAAGTATTTATTTTATATTTTATAATTTTTAATTGCATGAATTACAAATACATTCATGTTTTATTTGTTTTTAAAGCTTATATATGACGCTTTTAGGTCATTTTGAAAATAAAATAAAATCGTTTACTAAAAGCCAAGACATAGAGTAATTACTATGTTTCAAAACATTTTTTTATTTTTATTATTTTTATTAGGTAAGTGGGTTAAATATTTTTTAATGTCCTCCAAGGTTCTATTTTTACACCCCTCTTGTTCCTAATATACATTAATGATCTCCCAAATATTTCGGGTTTACTAGATGTCATTATGTTTCCCGATGATACAAACTTATTTTCTACATCTACATCTATTACAAAACTCTTTAAAACTGCAAATATTGAACTTGAAAAACTAAGCAAATGGTTTAAACCCAATAAGTTATTACTAAACACAGAATAAACCAAATGCATCTTTTTTCATTCCAGTCCAAAAAGTTACCCATATCATTACCTTCGCTAAAAATAGATAATAATGAAATCGGGAGAACCTAATCATTAAAATTTCAGGAATACTTATCGATAATAACATCTCATGAAAAGTGCACATTAATATGTTTAACACCAAAATTTCAAAAAATATTGGAATATTCTACAAAGTTTCCCACTTATACATTGCTATTATAAATATGCCAATATTGCATAGGCAAGTACCCAAAAATCCGAATTGGCTACGCTTTATCGTAATCAAAAATATGCTGCAAGAATAGTTTACTATAAGGGCAAATTCTGACATGCTAGAGCCACTCTTAAAACGCCTAAAAGCATTAAATGTTTATTAAATTAACAAATTTCAAAATTTGATGTAAATGCTAAAATATAAACTTGGACTTGTTCCTTCTTATATCTCAAGCTGATTTTAGTAAACTTTTTTCACTCTGTTGGTCCATATTTTTAATGCTTGACCTTGTTCAGTGGCCAGTGAAATATTTAGTTGCGCATTTTCCATTAAATATTTTGTTACCGTATTAACGATAACATAACCATAGGAAATAAATGTTATTAAAGCACCTAATTATGTGAATACTGAAAAATTTTTTGCGACTACATTTATCTTGGTTTTGACATATAGTCATTGGTATTAAAAATATGCTCCATGATGATGGCATTTGTAGTGACTAGATGTCGTACTTCAATCCAAAAGTGAAGTTACATTTTCCCCATTTTACAAATGACGGATTAAATTTGTAAACAAATATTTAATTTTTTTTTTAAAAAAAAAATATATTTTATATTTATATACTAATTATGTAAAAGTGTTAATAGAAAATTAAAGTACTTGTAAAATAACAATTTATGATTTCTATATTTATTTTCAATTAAAGTTTTAAATAGAAAAGTGAAACGACAGATGGTTTTGAAGCATTTTTATGAATTATAATACTTTTTAATAAAGATAGGCTCATAAACTTTTTTTAAGTATTTTATAGTTATTATAACATGTTTTTGAATTATCTTTAATTTATTGGGAACTTTTGACGTGAATTTTTAACTTTTATTCCACACATCGGTTTCAGCCCTTACTCTTTTTACAAATGGCAAACTATATTTATAAGCAAAAAAAGTAACTTCATTTTTTGTCCAATAAAATCTCCCAAGTTACACATCTAGTTTATATATCATTGGTGTTAACAATGACTATTTCGTAGTAAATGTATATGGTCTGCCCTTTTTAAGTTTAGTAATACACAGCTTTTGTCACAGCTTTACTTTGCTTGTTTATTTCTAAACCTCTGTTTCTTGTTACTTTTATTTTGGCAAATTCGTCAAACTTGTTAATAGAGTTTCTTAAAAAGTTGTTTAGAAAGTTCCAAATGGTTTTAGGAAATGGTCTTGTTTGCAAAGACTTTTTTTAAAAGATGATAATGTTAAAAAATATAACTGTGACACTTCAGCACAAGCAAAATATTAAATATATAAAAAGAAAGTTGTTTTTAATCAGGGTAATATTTTTTTACTTTTAGATATTTTATAATCTGATAATATGAATACGTTAATTTAATATTATTATTAGTCGAGTTACGTCATTTTCTAGGCTTTTCTATTTTAAAGTAGTTTCTAGGCTTTTCTATACGCGGTTTTTTTTTTAATTTTATTTACTAACAACGCGTATTACGGGTTGCTTACTGCTAGTCTTTATAATTCATCTTAGCAAACACACAGTTTGCTTAGATGAGTTGTAAAAAATATGAAGTATTTAAATGTCATTTGATTGATTTACTTTGCATTTCTAGATTTGTTTTGAACTATATGCACTTTGTTTGTTTTGAGGTTGTTCGTCGATTATTGGTATTTTGAAAAAATGAGCAAAAGATATGTCATTTATCATATATTCCAATTAATCATATTTTTAAAAAGTCAAATGATTTTGTCAGAAAGTCTAGATGACTGATATAGTTTTAAAAGAAAAAAGGCTATACATTTTGTATGCTGGTCCTTATGTACTGAAGATACAAACTAAATTAACAGCATCAATGCATTGGATGTGTATTGATGCTTTTAAATTGGTTTGGATGACTGGATTATTAAGGCTGTGGATTATTATAGTCCAACATTCATAATATACAATTTACATAACCTGATTCATTAGTAGTAATTTTTTAGATGACCGCTTCTTGATATGTCTGCCTTTACATTTAAAAATTGTTGAGCCTGAAATTATTGGTTTTTGGTAACAAGATGCCACTTGCTTAAATGGTCAAGTGTTTAAGTGAAATATAAGTAGTTTGGATTGGAAGAAAAAACACCTGACAAAGTAATCACTAGTGTTAAAGATTTATTAAAACGATTTATTAAAACTATTCATTTATTTATTAATAATTTATTTATTAATAAAAATTTTATTTACTTATATTGTTTATTAAAAATTAATAAAATAAATTTATTAATAAAAATATTTATTTATTGATTTATTAGAGCTATTTAATAAAACAATTTTTGATTCATCATATTGTGAAAATGTATTATTTTAGTTTCCTTATTGTACCATGTAATTCATGTTATAAGAATATATATTGTCTTTGCCAAAATAACCCTATTAAAATAAAACAACTTTACAGAAATATGAATTTAAACACAAAGATATATATCTTTTAGAGGTAAAACTAGAAATATTTTTTTTTCCATTGTTTATTAAGTTAAAAATATTTGGAGGGCAGTTTCATTAGTTTTGTAGTTTATTGAGGGATTGTTTTTTCTATTTCAGATAATGTTGCTAAACTATTTGCAGTCAATAATCTTTCGAAAGCAGAAAAACTCAGGTGAACATTAAATAAAAAGTTGGTCCAATTTCTGGTATTTGTGGTATTTCTATTTGTTCGTTCCAAATGTTTTTTTATTTCGTTCATAAAAATGCTTTGTTTGTAACTTTATGTTCCTTCATATATTTTCCTCTTTTAGTGACAAACAAAGAATACGCGAATTATTTAAGATATGGTTGAAATTCGCAAAAAAGTAAAAAATCAAACTTGTTTCTTTTTAAGTTATTTTTTTTTAGTTATATTGTATATATTTTTAAAATTTTGAAATAGAAGTATTGTAATGTTCATTTATTTTGAGTCTTTTTATTTCCGTATTCAGTTATTTGCCCGGAATAATAATATTTAATTAAGTCATACACGATTATTAAATCGTGTATGACTTAATTAAATAAAAAGAAAAAATAACTTCACAATGACAAAGTTATACAGTGTAAAATTGTGCATTATTGTTTTTTGCAGTGTAAAAATAACATCAAAAATGTTAGACGTTCATCAAAAATGTTAAATGTTAGGACGTTTTTTTTACAACGTTTGGCCAACGTCGCCAATATAACGTTGACCTACGTTTCATATATGCCGTTATTTCAACGTTTAAATAACAATAGAAAAGACATTGGCTCAACGTCATTTTAGCCTAAATATAACGTTTTCCTAACGTCTTTATAACGTTTTTTTTCTTAAAATTTAACGTTGCTCAAACCCCTTTCCGATGTCATTTTGCTCAAGTGTAACGTTACAACGACATTTTTACATAGTTGCAATAACGTTAGCAAAATGACGTTTTCCCACTGTTTCATTTATAACATCATTATAAATTCGTATTGCTAAAAAACTTGAAAAAACTTTATTTTATACTGCTAAAAATTTGAAAAATCATTATTTATATAGTAAAATTTAACTCTATTCATAGAGTAAAATTTAACACTATTTATATAGTAAAAATTAACATTATTTATATAGTAAAAAGTAAAGCATTATTTAAAGAAATTTATTTTTCTTTCATATATAAACTTTATATTTTATTTTTAAATCTAAAATATTCATAAAAAAACTAAAAAAAGAAAAATAGTTAGATATTTAGCATAAAGAAATATTAGTTTTAAAAAAGCTATTCGAATTTTTTAACAGACACAAATTGGAAAACCTTAAACACTTCACTTTTTTTCTATAAATGTTACGCACTTCAGTTCAAATAAAATAAGTAACTTTATAAATAAATAACTTAAACAAGTAACTTAAGTTATGAAAACTAAATTATTAACTCTTAGCAAACATTGTGCGATAAAAGTTATTTTATGTTTTTGAAAACCAAATGTATAGGTTGTATGCCTATACATTTGATTTTCAAAAACATAAAACAACTTTGATCGCGCAATGTTTGCTAAAAGTTAATAATTTAGTTTTGTTACTCAATGTTCAATAAAAAATCAATCATTTATAACAAATGGCTTTTATTAATTATTCATTTTTATATATTACATTGTAATGTTTGTAGCTGTTTTTATTTATTAGTACAAGATAAAATAA